CCAAAAACAATAGTCTAATGGCTCTCATTAATTCAGAGGGAAAGATAGAGGCTGAAAACTAGAATTAATCCGAAAGAAGTGCCATGTAAAAATAAAGCAGACCGATCCATTGGTTATTTCAAGCTGAAATCACATAAGGATCTGTAACTTCGGGAAGGACCATTTGGCCTGCATTTTCGACTTGCAGCAAGTCATAATGATATTTTCAGGAGGGATGACCTTCACATACCAAAGCTGGGAATTAGCCTTGGTCACAAGAGACTGACTGGTTGCTAAGGCTGCAGTGACCTTGAATAAACAAACTCTTGATATAACCCTTATCTTTCAATAACGACTATATCCCAACCATGTGTCTCTGCAAGGACATCCTTAGAATTTACTACCCTAGAGCACAGTTTGTTAAACTGTGATGTTATTACTTTCAGGTTTTTTGTCCTTGATCTAAAAAGTATGAATGCATAATGCTTTGATCATTTCTTCAGAATTTAATGTTGTGAACATCTAAAATTCATTGAAAAGGTTCAATGATCTTGACAAAAACTGCGCTTGTCAATCAGTTCTTGTATTAATTGGGTTCCCGACACAAACTAAGAAGTATAGAGCTGTTCTCTTTGGGGTGTAGTCTGATATCATTCCCATTCAATGGGGTCCCTAGAAGGATACACAAGACAGTATCCGAGGTAGCTCCTCTTTATTTGATTTTATATTTATTATGTTTATATTTATTTGTTTGTTTGTTTATTTATTTTGATTTTTCAGGACAAGGTTTCTCTGTGTAGCTCTGGCTGTCCTGGAACCTACCCTGTAGACCAGGCTGGCCTTGAATTCAGATATGCCTGCCTCTGCCTCCCTGAGTGCTGGGGTTAAAGACATGTGCCATCACCACCTGACACCTTTTAAAAATGTACCTTCATTTTCATATGGGGTTGGTGGGTAGGCTCAAGTCAGCCAGGTTTCTTATCCATGATCCTGCCTAAAGCTTCTTCTGGTCATCTAAGATTAAATGCAAAGTCACAATACTTACTTATTGGGGAAGAAATAAGTATCAACCACAGAGTCAGAGGCAGCCATAAAGTCTATTTCTTGTTCTGGTTCAGCTGCATCGTGGCTTAGGCAATCAATATGACCCCAAAGTAACAGGACTAGTTACTTTCCCTGGCTTCAGAATCTGTCCCCTTCACAGATGAAATGTTTCTCTGGTCTCCCTGCTCTTCTACTCTGCTTCTGTGCCATAGTTCTTAACGTAGCAGATTCGTAGGCTTTTCTGGAGAGTGAAACCCTAGTGATTTGACAGAGAGCAATTGCAGGGCAAGTTCAGGCCTTTTCCTTTTGTAAGACTATCCTAGCTCTGGGTGTCTAAGTGTCTGAGTCGGGCCCAGGATTTGTTCTTGCTACTTGGGCAAACAGTCAGGAAATATTTAAGAACAGTCAGAAACCCACTTTGCTGCCTTTACTAACTTCGCCAGTAGGAGGCGTATGGTAGACGTGCAATCCTCGGGAGTGTCAATTTTGTCTCTTGCATCTAGAGTGGCACTCAGTATCAAAGTGTTTATACTCAGGATTATTCCTCCCAAGTCTTTTGAAGTTAAGAGGCTCTTACCTACTGGTTTCAGGCAAACAGCCCAAGGACAATGGGTATGACCAAAATAGTTTCGTTTTTCTTGCTTAGGGCCTGAAAGGCTCCACTTCACCAGGTGGAGTTCCCTGGAAACCCAGAATGTCCTATTATTCAGGCTGTATTGTTGTGACTCAAAAAAGACAGCTCTGTTTTCGAGCTTGTCACAAAGCTCAGGGAAGGCTACACACACATAGACATTGGAACAATACAGAATCATATGTGGACATTTTAAAATTTCAAATTCTGAGCCCCACTTTAGAGCTTCTAGATAGAGGAGTTTGGAAGCCTGTACTGTAACTAATTGAGATCCTGCTGTTATCTTGAACCAGCATTTGAGAACCACTAATCCAAGAGAATTCCAGATAAGATATTTTATCAATCCTAATGCCCCTGCAGAGCCTTTGGTGGCATGGATAGTCAAAGGCCTTGGAATCAAATCAAGGATTTAATGTAGGTGGTTGCATTGTGTGAATCATGGTGACATCATCAAGAAACTTAAAGGTAGTTCAAGAGCATGAACTGGCCTTTCCAAAAGAAGCATGTACCCTTCCAGGAAGATGATGATGGTTGACCAATGGAGGAGGCTATTTATGAAGGAAGGTAGCAACTCTGTCCCCTCAGGTGTTTCAAGATAATAAACTCTGAGTCTGATGGGGAAAGGATAGGAGCTCCAAAAGGACCAAATATATCTGGGCACAGGGTCTTTTCTGAGACTGACACTCAACCAAGGACCGTGTATGGATATAACCTAGAACCTCTGCTCAGATGTAGCCTGTGGTAGCTCAGTAACCAATTGGTTTCCCATAGTGAGGGGAACAAGGACTATTTCTAACAGGAACTCAATGTCTGGCTCTTTGGCCTCCCCACCCCCCAAGGGAGGAGCAGTCCTGTTAGGCCACAGAGGAGAGCTTTGCAGCCAGTCCTGAAGATACCTGATAAAACAGGATCAGATGAATGGGGAGGAGGTCCCCCCTATCAGTGGACTTGGCAAGGGGCACGGTGGAGATGAGGGAGGGAGGGAGGGACTGGGAGGGAATGAGGGATTGGGACACGGCTGGGATACAGAGTTAATAAAATGTAACTGATAAGAAAAAAATAAAATTAAAAAAAGTACAAGTTTATGTAATGAAAAAAAAAGATAATAAACTCTGCCTCTATGAGCATTTTCTAGTAAACATTGCAGAAACTAAGCCTTGCTTTTTAGAGAGTTGTCTGTACATGGTCATGCCCACCCCACTCCAATTATTCACTCAAGTGGGCTTAAAGTTCCTTTCCTGGCCTTTATCCAGCTGTTCTAAATGAAGCATCTTTCCTGACTCTGCCCTAAACAGTGGTGTTCAGATCAGCATCTGGGCCTGGACTCTGAGTAATTGAGGTGAGTGTCCTTAGCATCACTGACCTTCTTGGACACAACACATACTCATGTTGGATCCAGACTTCTGGGCTAACAAGTACACTTGGAGACATGGTTGTAAGGTATTCAAGCATGGAAAAGCATACCAGCCAGGGTTTCACTAGTTGGCAAATCAGCAGACATCAGAACCCAAGCTCTTTTGGTAAGATGCAGAGACAAGACATTGGGTAAGGACAAGTGACAAGAAAATAAGCTCTAACTGGATCCAGGCCAAGAAACAAGCATACTGGTGGCTGTGAAGAGGCTGAGGCCAAGTGGTCCTGGAAAAGGACTGTGAAGGTGAGATGAACCTTTCTTGAGATGAGAAGCCCTCTGATGTCTTGGGGGTACAGCTGCATAGGCCTAACAGGAAAAAACACAGGAGCTGTCATCTCACATAGTACAATTCCAGTAAGACCATTAAAGGAGCATCTTCAAATAAACAGGGACATCTGTCAGGGACTATTGTACCTTTACTAGAGACTTTTAGTTTACAGTTACACAAAGAGCCAGAGGTATAGGGAACTATTGGACTCTGCTGCTGGATAAACACCCCCAAACCCAAATGCAAACTGTTCTACCTGGCAGTAAAACCATCCCTAACCTCTACACCCCTTAGGAAAGACTCTCAGTTTTCTTCTTGCTCAATTCCCCAGGTCATTCCTCCTTCCCTACTCTCAGCCATACCCCTCCCCTTTACCAATCTAAATGTTCTACTTTAGTTAACATAAAAATTAATTCAGGGGCTAGAGAGATTGCTCAGTGGGTAAAGGCATTTGCTGCCAAGTCTGATGACCTGAGGTAAATTCCTGGAACCCACATGGTGGAAGAAAAGAATCAGTTCCTGCAGGCTGTCTTGTGACCTTCATACACATACTGGCATGCTTTTGTACTCCGACACACACAAATAAATACATATAATAAGATTTTTAAAATAAATAAAAACAATTATTTTTTCGCTGATGTTGAGCATATAGTGTCCTATATTCTCACAACATAATCTTGTACTCACTGTTGTCTAATTATTTTTTTCAAGACAGGTTTCTCTGTGTAGCCCTGGCTGTCCTGGAACTCACTCTGTAGACCGGGCTGGCCTCGAACTCAGAGATCAGTCTGTCTCTGCCTTCCTAGTGCTGGGATTAAAGGCATGAGCCACTATCACCCGGGTTAATTCTTTTATTTTTTAAAAGATTTATTTTATGTATGTAAGTTTTTTTGCCTGAATGTATGTATGCGCATCACGTGCCTGAGGAGGTCAATATAGTATGCTGAATCCCCCAAAGCCAGAGTTACAGACAGTTGTGAGCCATTATGTGGGTGCTGGGAATTGAACCTGGTCCTCTGCAAGAACAGCGAATACTCTTAATCACTGAGTCATCTCTCCAGCCCCTGTTGTTGAATTCTTCTTTCTAAGTAATTGAATTATTCTGTAACTGGGTCATCGGGCCTTTGAAGATAGAGGATGTGTCTTCCTGTAACAGATTCCATGGCATTCTTTGCATAATATGTATTTGTTAGAGAGATAGGGAATAAACAACAGCTTCTCATGATGAAATGGGTGAAGAGTGGAATTTTTGTGAAAGAACTGAAAATGTGAGAAACCCTATTTTTACACTTTAGAACAGAGGCAAAAAGACATCAAATGCACACACCTCAGGAATTCAGGAAATGCTAAATCCGGTATCTCCTTTCAAGACTTCACAGACCAGATAGTGGTGGTGCACACCTTTAATCCCAGCAGAGGCAGAGGTGAGTAGGTTTCTGAGTTCGAAACCAGCCTGGTCTACAGAGTTGCAGGACAACCAAGGCTACACAGAGAATCCCTGTCTTGAAAAACTTATGACTGTCAAAAAAGCCTCTTGTGGCTAGAAATGTAGCTGGGTGATAGAGCTCTTTATTATCAGATGCAAGGCCCCCGCTTTTAGCCTCAGCATTCCAAACCAACAAAAAAGTCTTGCTGGAAGAAAACAAAGCATAAAGCCATGCGATAATCTATACAAATTTTATTTTGATATCAGTTTGTATGGAAACAAGCAGGTGTCAGCATTATGCAGGCACAGAAAAAAAGGAAAGGAAAAATAAAAAAAAAACTCCAGTGCTAATTATTTACATCATTTGGTTTCAACAAGGACAGGAAGCTTTACTGTTGGCCTCCTGTGGGAACTCCAGTTTCTGCACCTTGCCTTGCTGCCTCTCAGCATCACGATACAACAGGGATTTCTGGGCTTTCAGTCGGCAAGCCAGGCACATGAAAATTGACTCCACGTTCTGGCTTTCTTTGGGGTCCTTGGCTGATGTCTCAAACAAGAGCATGTTGTGGGCATCAGCAAATTTCAGGGCTAAGTTTGAGGGTACCTGGATTTGTTCCCTCAAGTCACACTTGTTACCCACAAGCACCTTTGGAACGAGTGGTGACACAGCATGCCCATTGCATTCTTGGATCCACATTTTTAAGTTGGTGAAGGAGGTCATCTTGGTGACATCGTAGACGAAGACCACGGCATGCACATTGCGGTAGTAATGCTCGACCATGCTTTTACGGAAGCGTTCTTGTCCTGCTGTGTCCCATACCTGAACCTGCAACAACAATAACAACAACAACAACAACAACAACAACAACAAAAACCATATGTAAAGTCGGAAAAGGAAACAAGAGCAGATGAGAAAAAGCATAGTCTTAGCTGGGCAGTGGTGGCACATGCCTTTAATCCTAGCACCTGGGAAGCAGAGGCAGGCAGATCACCTCCCCCTGACTGGAGAGCAGCCTTGCTAGGCCACAGAGGAGGACAAAGCAGCCAGTCCTGAAGAGACCTGATAAGCTAGGGTAAGATGGAAGGGGAGGAGGACCTCCCCTATCAGCGGACTTAGAGAAGGGCGGGGAGGAGATGAGGGAAGGAGGGTGGGACTGGGAGGGAATGAAGAAGGAGGCTACATTTGGGATACAAAGTTAATAATCTATAACTAATATAAAAAATAAAAATTTAATTAAAAAAAGAAAAAAAAAACAGACGTTCTTGACAGATTAGCAGAATGGATTTATCAAAACTCAGTTTTAGAGTTTTCTAAGTTTTTTTTTTGTTTTCTTTTTAATTGGTGGATGAAAATACAGAGGTAAAAAGTTTAAAGAATTGCAATTTTAAAACAGTACACAAGAAGCCAGGTGGTGATGGTGGATACCTTTTATCCCAGCACTCAGGAGGGAGAAGGAAGAGAATCTTTGTGAGTTTGAGGCCAGCCTGGTCTACAAGAGGGAGTTACAGAACAGCCAAAGCTACACAGAGAAACCCTGTCTCAAGATAGATAGATAGATAGATAAATAAATAAATAAATGAATAAATAAATAAATAAATAAATAAATAAATAAATGGGCTGGAGAGTTCGCTCAGTGGTTAATAACACTTGTTGTAGAGGACCAGGTTTGCTTCTCACAACTTCCTGTTACTATAGTCCTTGGGGAGTAGATGCCCTCTTCTGACCTTGGATAGCATCAGGCATAAACATAGTGTGTTCTACATACATGCAAGCAAAACATTCATACACATCAAATAATGAATCTTAATTTTTTTAAAGTAGCACATATTGGTCAAATACTCTGGAAGACAATGTGACAGTTTTGTCAATAATCTTAAAAATGTTCACAACTCTGATTTGTTTGTTTGCTTGCTTTTGGGATTTTTGAGACAGAGTTTCTCTGTGTAGCCCTAGCTATCCTGGACTCACTTTGTAGACCGGGCTAGCTGAACTCACAGAGCTCCAACAACCACTGCCTCCAAGTGCTGGGATTAAAATTGTTTGCTACCACGCCAGGCAAGCAATATTCACAACTCTTAAAACCTGTAATCCTTCTTCTAGGAAGCTATACAAAAGACATCGCTCTTAAATTCTGTGAAAATATCTTGATCACAGTGTTATTTTTCCTGAAGGAAAGAAAAGTATGCACTATGAGAGGAATAGCACACATACACACACACACACACACACACACACACACACACACACACTTGTCTTATAAGACCAGAGAGATATAGCCTAGCATCATGCCTCACGTCTGCAATCCCAGCACTCAGGGAGGAAGAGGCAGGTGGATCTCTGTGAGTTTAAGGCCAGCTTGGTCTACAAAGTGGATCTAAGTCAGCCAAGCCTACACAGAGAAACCCTGTCTAGGAAAAAAAAAGACCAGAGAGTAAACGTGAGAAAGAGAGAGAACAGATAAAAATATTTCAGGGCTGGTATGCTCAGTTTTTAATCAAATACTGTTTCCTATGATATAGTCTCAGTTTTTAAAAACATTAAACATAAACGTAGTTGTAGAGGAGTCTAGAATTTTATATCTCATAATGGTAATGGCTTTTTTGAATACAGGAAATAGTTATTCTCTTTGTTTTTCCCCCCTTCCCAAATTTTCTGATTTAAAATATGTGTTACTTTGTAGTGTTTTTGTTGTTGTTGTTGTTGTTGTTGTTGTTGTTATTGTTGTTTTGAGACAGGGTCTTAATATATAGATCAAGCTAGCCTCAAACTTGCTACATAGCCCACGATAGCCTTAAAATAATGATTGTCTTACCTCACCTTCCTGAGCTCTTGGATTATAGGCAGGTATTTTCTTATCTAACTTTGCATTACAAGATTAGAAAAACCTGAGTCCAACTACCTTAAGCTACATAGCAAGTTGGAGGCCAGCCAGGTCTATATAAGACCCTGCTTTACTACCATCATAAAAGCAAAACTAGTGTTAAAATTCTCACCATTTAGCTTTATTTGTTTATTTATATGAGATCTCATTATATAGCCCAGGATGACTTCAAACTCATGATCCTTGCTGGGTGTGGTGACGAACACCTGTAATTCCAGCACTCTGGAGACAGAGGCAGACAAACTGCTGTGAGTTCGAGGCCAGCTTGGTCCACAAAGTGAGTCCAGGACAGCAAAGGCTACACAGAGAAACTCTCTCTCAAAAGCAACAACAACAAAACATGATCCTCCTGTTTCAGCCACGCTGGTGCTGGAATTACATGCTTGAGCCACCATGCCTGCTTTTCAATTTATTTTTAAATTCACTTCTTTGTTATGTAAAAGATAATTTAATTCATTCTAATTTTTCTCTGCATCTTGGCTTTTGGGATAAAGGCCAACTTATGAAGAGAAAAATCTGGTATCAGTAGCATAGGCAGAGACATAATTCCCCAGGGGAACACTGTGGGAGTCAACATATATTCAAGGCCAATTGTATTTTCTGTTACATATTCAGGGTCTGAGACAACAGACATTCATGCTCAGAACAATGCTCTCAAGACCCTATAAAATTCTCAGTTAAGAAAAGATTTTTTGTTATGGCCACTAATTTGACTACTGTATCTTTTCAAATGAAGTATTTATATATATATAGTCTTTGGAATTAGCAATTCCTGAGTATAATCTTTGGAATATAATTTAAAATTTCTTTGCTGAATGAAGATCTTAAAAGACCATCATTCTGAACATCAGGTTTCATTGTCCTTCATCATTCTCCAAGAAGCTTTTGGAATTACATCTTCTTGCTGACAGAAACTCGCTTATAGCCTGGCCAGGCTTCAGTCCTTCTGTCTCAGCATGCTAAGTGTTGGGTTGCTGATATTAGTCACCACGCTCAGTGTCCATTTTGATTTTCATGGACCCTGGTTTCCCTATTTCTGGATTACAGCAGTCATTTGGTTTCTAGATGCTGCTGTCGCACTAGCCACCTAACTCCCTGCTTGTATCTTCCTCTTCTAGAAATTATGGTAGCCCTCTACTATATGCGGTATCAAATGGAAATATTTCAGTCTTAATTTGACAAATTCCAACCTACATGCAACCTACTCGGCCACATCTTTCTCTGTAACTTTGGTCCACTAGTCCACCCTTCCATAGTAGATCTGTTGCCTCCTCTACCTGACCCCAATCTCACCCATTCTTGAAGACTCAGCTTGTGCTTCCACCTCTATCCTCAAAAAAAAATTTTTTTTTTGTGGGGGAAAGGGCTTTTTTTGAGACAGGGTTTCTCTGTGAAGCCTTGGCTGTCCTGGAAATTACTCTATAAACCAGGCTGACCTTGAACTCAGAGATCCACCTGCCTCTGCCTCCCAAGTTCTGGCATCAAAGGCATGTGACACCATGTCTGGTTCAAATCTTTATTTTTTAAATATTTAAAGATGATGTGTATGTATATATGTGTATGTATGTATTTTATGTGTATGGGTGTTTTTCCTGCATGTATGCCTGTGTACCATGTGCATGCAGTGCCTGCAGAGTTCAAAAAGGAATGGTGGAGCTGGAGTTACAGATGGTTATCAGACACCATATGAATGATAGGAATGAAGCCTTTGTGTGTTCTCTGGCCCATGAGTGCTGCTGGTCCCTTGCTGACCAAACTATCTTTTTCAACATTGGATTGTACGTCATTTAGGTGGTGGTGATCAAAAGGAGTACTGGTCTGAGCCCCTAGAACTACCAGCAGTTGTACAGCTCAGATATCTGCCAAAGCCATTTCAGAGAAAGCATCTAACTTTGGTTACACAACAAACCAAAAATCCTCAAAGACTTATTTGTTTCTGTAAGAAGAGACAAAAAACAAAAAGAAAAACAAAAACAAAAAAAAAAGCAAAACAAAACTATTTTTATTCCTTCTACCTCTCTGGTGCTCTGAACAGGAAGAAAGAGAGACAAATGGGGAGAGGGCTAGAGGGCAGGGGAAAGAAAACAGGCTTAGTCCAGGAATATCATTTCTGCTTGGTTTCTGATCTCCACTTCCCACCCCCACTCTCCAGTAGTCTTAACTCTTGCCTATGTGTGAAGCTGAATCCTTATCGTCCCTCAGGCACGTGGCAGATGCTTTAACACCATGAGCTCAGGATTCTAAAAATACCTGCAGGAACACGGGTGGGAATGTGTGAGTTGTTTGAGGCTGAGTTAGGTTGGCTGTTTGGCTTTTTCTTGGCTTCCTAATTGTGTAGACCACCCTAGTTGCAGAACTGTAGGGAGAACCCCACTGCTAGAGCCCTCCTCTGCCTTTCTGAAGCTACAAAGAAAGCCTTAAAGCTTTCATATAAAAGCTTGGGCATTCAGAGGTAGTTATTTTTCTCACACCCATTCTATATAAACCACAGCCAAAGTTTTCGGGCCCCTGCCTGTGATGAGACATAAACCTGGAAGCAGGCTACACCCATCAGAAGATGGAAGAACTAGCTTACATGACCTCAATGCCTCTCAAAGGGAAGTATATCAGTCAGGCTCACTGTATACATGGAATGGGCTCTCTGTGTCAGGGGATTCAGTTTTCCTGTCCTCAACATCCTCACAATCCTTTCATCCTTGCTAGGGAGTGAAAGTGCATGCTTCCTCTCCTCTTTCCATCCCCATCTGGAAAATGAAGACAGTGAGAGCAACTATGCTTTGGTAGTATTCCTTAGATACACATGACACTGCCTAATATAGATTCCTGAACCCCCAAGATGCTTACATCATAGGAGCTCAAATGCCCTTTATAAAACAGTGTACTGAGCCAGGTATGGTGCCTCACGCCTGTAATCTCAGCACTCGGGGAGGCACATGCAGGCAGA